TGCATGTTGCAATATTAGAAGAGATGGTTGTATAGAATACATTTTCACAATTTGTCCCTAAACATACAAATCCAATGTCTAACTCTTCCTGAACCTTCGCTCCAAGCTATATGTGAGGTCATCCCTGTGTTCTCCTTTTCTTAGCACCTTGGTAACTGTTTGTTGTTATTGCCGGTGGAATTTTCTTATCACTGGCCCCACCATTGTAACCACTGGCCCGGAGCATTCGTCCAAAAAAAAAATCGACTAATTATGAAGAAAATTAACACATTTGTTGCAATACGTAATTCATGCACTAACTACATTACTACTTGTACTACAACATTTGAATCATCAGTTCTTCCTCAGTTTCCTCAATTGTTCATATTTGGTTTATTAAAATAATGATATTGTGGTCATTGTTAAAAAATGTCTGGTATTATTATTAGTATAATGCACTTTCTGCCTTCCTGTCATTAGGAGTTAGAAAAGTAATGGCTATAGATTAGATCCTTCATTATCCTAAACTGCTGGGACATTTCCCTAAAGCCAATACCTTTATATTGTCTACTCTTCACTTACTTGTCAGCATAGGTCGGCATTGATGTACAGAGCCGACAGAAGACCTTGTTTATATTGGCATCATATTGAGAGGTGCAGCCAGTGACGCATCCTAAAACCAGGAAGTAAGCTGCTGGTTCCCTCGACAAAAAGCAATGGGATTTCTCCACAGGGTTTTGGAAAATAGCTGGAAATAAGGTCTGTGGAAAACGCACGTTTTGTTCAGCCGGATAATCTCCACAGGTCTACCCTACTTTTATAATTTTCGATAAATAAATCTAATCGATAGATTATAAAAGGGTTTCAGGATGCGTCACTGCACCACTAGAACTTTCAGCCAACTCCATCGATCAAGCTGGCTGAAACTTTCTCTCCCTCTTCTTCTCATACTCCCTGTCACTCTCCTTTAACTTCTCCGGTGACTTTCTTTTATTTGAAGATTGTTTTTTGTCCGGCTACCGCTGGTATTAAAAACATTTTGGCAAATGGTTAGGTGGCGCGATAGTCTGTAGTGAAGGAGCGTGCTCCTGCTCACGGGAGCCTGCTCGCGCTGCGCTCCGCAGCAAACAGCTGTTTGCTTTTCACCCAACAACGACAACCGACTCACTGAACGCTATGTTGTAGCGTTAATAAACTAAACAATTTAACAAAATTGCTAGTCAAAATACCAATACCACAGGAAAAAAAAAAAATGTCAAGTGGAAAGTACGTTATGCTGGCCCGGGGGGTCTAAATAGTGCTTCCGGGCCAGCGGGCCATTTATAATGTCGAGCCCTGCAAGTACTGTCAATTTTGAGATTTTGTGCTATTTTGATTCTATAACATGTTTTCTTTCAGGTATTTGAAAGGAAAATGTACAAAATACACATTTAAGTGTTTATTTTACTATAGTTTGTCTATTTGCGTCTGTAGATTTCTCCTAAATTCACCAAAAGTTAGCATTCTAACGTAACATAAAGTACCGCGACCGCTGTGTGCACCATGTCAACAGAGATATCGTTGGAAAGCTGTGTCTCTCCTGCACAATCTCATCAGATCCAAATATGGTCATTTCCTTTGTATCAGCAACCAATCGTGAAAGTACAAAGGGAGTCAACCAAGAAACGAAATCTCATTGGCTGGTGTCAATTTCTGACAACGTGATTTGTTCAGCTGCGTCACGTGGTGTGCTAAAACACTTCCTGGTTAGCTTTCCGCTAGAAATTGAAATCTGAAAATGGCAAAAGAACGGCGAAAAAAACGTTCACAGAGAAGAAGACAACAATTGTCACTTGCACGAAGCAAGGTTATACAAAAAACAAATGACCTCGAACATGAAATACCTTCACGGAGTGCGTCGATGCGCAAGCTGTCATCCAAAGAACAGGAGGGTTTAGCTAGTGCCTCACAGCAATCTTTAAAGGTCGTTTTCTCAAAATGAGTTTTTTCTCCTACTCTGAGTTCGAAATTTCAACTTCAGTAGCACGTAGATACACCAAACCTTCCAGTTATATTCCTATCAATATTATGAAGGCTTTTACTGAAGGGTTTGTTCATATATCATTCAAAGCCTGAAGTATACAACATTGTATACCTAAAAACATGGCGAAAATTGATATTTTAGGGCTGTTGACAGTATTTTCTGATTTATGGAGTAATAAAAAGAGATATCCCTTCTGTAAAAGCCTTAGATACTAATATGACTACAAAATGGAACAAGAATTTTGAACCTGGCTTTATCCAAAGTTCAGATTTCGATTCCTGAAATGTGTTTAAATATGTGCATATTTAATGAGATAATGGTTAATTTGCATATTTAAACATGCTATTTCAGAAAACTTGTAATACAAAAAACAATTGCCTTATTGTAAGTAATTAACTGGATTTCTAGCTGATACCTTTAAGTTAAAAAAATTACCCTATTTACCTGGGGTGTCTCGCCTTAAGTACGAAACAGTCCATATACTCAACCCCTCTGAGCAGTTATTACAGGCTCATTCCATCACATTCAGTGTGTGTTCGTGTGTGTGGTGAACATTTTTCACAACTGGAACATTTCTAGAAAGTAACAACTTACTATTTTATCATGAGTGAAGCTGATCTTAGACAAATATCACATTGTTTGAACTGCACGTGCAAATGTATAATTTTGCAAAAGCCTGAACTCGGTTGTAAAACACACTCACAGGATGGAATGCAAAGAAAAGGCAGGGAGAAAGTGAGGTATGGTGTCAACGAGGGCAGCTGCTGGTGCAGCCTCCAGCCAGACGAGGCTGAAATCTGAGACTTGCAGAACCACAGCATCGAGCGGAGGGAAGGAAGGAGGGAGGGGGGGCAGAGAGAAAAGAACACAAGTGGGAGAAAGAGAGAGAATGTCCGACAGGGAGAAAGAAGGCAAAATATGCAGGCTCTAGGCAAAGCGAGAGAGACTAGGAGCAGAGAGGAAAATGGAGAGTTACTGACATGTAAGATAAAGTGTCGCGGGGCAGAAACAATTTGTAAAAAATCGATTGAAAGTCTGGTTGAAAGAGAAATGATGTGTCGTGGACAAGAAGAAGTTATGTGTTAGGTTAGGAAGCCGCCAAGAGAAAGGAAAGGGGGGGGTGTGTGAGCATGCTCTGTTTGGACTGACATTGGATGCCGGCTTAGCTGCTCTCTGTCTTGCACAGAAACACACCCAGCAGCAGTGACACCTACCACACTCCAGGGGACAGAAAGAACATGGCCTGAATAAAAGAACACGGCAGAAAAAAGTCAGAGGGAGAGTTACTTTGTTTGGGACTTTCCCTCATTTTCTTCTCTCGTAAGCTACATCCCTCTTCCACCGGGAAAGCAAGAGAGAGCAGGGTTTGTTTTTCCACTCAAAAGGATTATTCTTCCAGCAGCTCCTTTTACAACATCAAATATTGGTTTTTCACAGAAACCAAGCCTTCCTTCTCCGTGGGAATTGTGCTTTTGTGCGGTTTGGAAAATGGTTTTGGAAGAGGACATGTCTTGTTAAGAGCTGCGGGGGTGCAACGCAAAACAGTCCCTGAAGAGCAACAAAGGTGGAACTTTGTGAAAGGATAATTATCCAGTGTTGGAGACGCTCTACGGTGTTTTGGCTAAACTCTCATGTTTCCTTTAGTTCCTAGTGGCGGATTGGGAGGAGCCAGGGAGTGGCAGACTGACACACACACTGACAGACTGTTGACTACATTTGCAAGGTTTCAGTTTAACACAGGAAGCAAATCAGTGAGTCTGCAGCAAAAGCTACGAGAAACCCACTTTGGCTTTTCCTTCTTAATTTGGTCCCGGTTTGTCCTGAAAAGCCGGTCTAGTGGATTCCTGTTTTTTCTCTCTAGGTATTCAGGTTCACCATTTGCCCTTGTCTGGACACAGCCCTCGTTCTTTCATCACAGCTCTCCCTGGACCCTCATGAGCGCATGCTTCCTAAACGTTGGACTAGAAGGAAGAAATGTGATCCTCTGTGTTGTGGTGTGTTTTGGGATGCTACGGCAACAGTGCTGTTTCCATGGAAAAGGCCAGAGAAATATGGAGTCGAGGGGCTGCGTGAGCGCTCTACCCCTATGTCTCTGGTCCAAGTGAAATCAAAGCCAGCTAGCGTAGCCCTGCAAGCTCCGCCCTGGAATTCCTTGTTCAGACTCTTCTCATGTGTAGCCACAAGGAGCGTGCACAGGACTAAAGGTGAATGAGCTTTTCAAAAGATAATCACATGAAAGGCCAACTCGCTTTTGGAAACATTTGCACCTTTTCTCCTCATTAGCCCAATGTGTTACATGTAGCTGTCCTTGTAGCCTCGAAGCTGGAACCAAAGTGTTGTAAAACGTCGTAAATTCCTTTGCTCAGCCCGGCTTTGTCAGGTCCATATATTGACACGGTGTCTTCAGGCAGCAGTTTTGAAAGAATGTATGCAACATCGCGTGTCTTGCTGAGTACAGAAGAGTTTTGAATGAGTCTGCCATTTGTGTTCATGGTAAATTATATGAAGTGGTGTGTATGGACACTGTACAATGTGTGTGTGTGTGTGTGAGGGAGAAAAGAGGGGGTTTTGAGTTGAGAACAGAGAAAGGCATGTTTGTGTTGAAGCCTGGCTTGTTTTCTGCCTCCCCCTCTGCTCGTGCTCCGTTTATCTGCCTCCTGTCTCAATATCTCATCTTCTTCCATGTCCTCTTAACTGTAGCTTTATCCCCCCCCCAGAATCCATCCTTCCTTGTTTATTTTCCTTTCTATTATATTCTCACCTTTCTCGGCTTCCTTGTCAAGTCAGCAGTCTTAGTATCTCTGAATATTTGCCTCTTCCATTTTTCATCTGTCTGTTGTGCTGGTAGCAGTCTTTTTATAGCGTGTGAATGTTTATGTTTTTTGTCTCGGCAAGTTGGCGCTCGCTGCCGATTGACTTAAAGTAAACCTTAAAGCATTTTGGATTAGTGCTTTGTTTAGATTAAGTAGAGTCAGACCTTGCCCTACACTCTCCCTGGGGGTCTGTCTCTGCTGTGAAAGAGAAAACCACAAACACTTTGTGCATTGAAATAAGTGAGATTCCCTCTTCTGAAATAGTGAAGCTTTGTGGAAAGAAGGATCTTTGTTAATGTTTCATAAGCGGAAATGTAGATGCATTAAAAGCCTCCGGAAGGATGCTTTAATGTGTGCTGATCAATTAGCCCGGCTCTGTTTACATGCACTTCATAGTCTGATTTTGCAATTAGGATGTTTATGTGGGTTTACACAACGCATTCGCATTAACATGACAAATGTATTCAAGAGTTTATCTGATGCTCAGTGGAAACCTTTTGTAATAGCACATCTGTATTTTCCTTGACAGTGTTTGTCTGTTGAGCTGCAGTGGAGTATAGTAACCAAAAAAAGTACCGTATGTATTAGGGCTGTATCCGAATATTCATTCGTTGGAGTACTATTCGGGTTTTCGAATTTCGTTATTCGTTTTGTTTGTTTTTTATTTTTTCCCCCGTTTTTTTTTTCAAAATTGATTTATTGAAATCTCCAATATCAATGTAAGAGCTTGTGCCTCTTCGGGGGGTGCTAACACTTAACCATAAACTTTATTGTTTACTTTCTCCGTCTTTATGTGTAGATATGACTTTTCTCCGTTAATCTCCGTCACGTTGTTTCCATAGCAACAACAACTTCCTGTCAACAGCGCTAACTCTCCTTCAAAATAAAAGCACGTCCATAAAAAATAGGAAGCCAAGCCAAATTACACTTGAGACATACAACTGCAATGAAAGTAACAAACACAATGCAATATACTTTTCAATTTCAAAGAACACAAATTGGGTTACATTAACAAATAACTATAAAACAACAATACTGTAGAATAACTAAATGAATGCCGTGAATAAATCGAAATACACGGGTTCAAGCGATTCGCTGCTGATTACTACCCCCCCCCCCCCCACGCGGGTCGAATAATCGCTGCTGATTGCTACCGAATATCCGGAGCCCGAAAAATGGTATTCGGGACAACCCTAGTGGAGCTGCAGGATTCTGCTTCACACACGTTGCATACCGCTATTTTATTGCCATTTTGACGTATATGACCTATGTCAATAAGTTTATGTTTTTGTAGTGCATTTGTCTTTTGTAGCGATTTTTCATTTATTCTTTATATATAAAACCTCGCCTAGGGCAGCAAATTGGCTAGAACTGGCCCTGGTACTAGGCCTCAAGAGCCTTTCTTGTGCTGGCAGACACATAGAAACAAATTGGCGGGGCGCACTTCGCACGCGCACACACTAAAAAATTCCACGCGCTCCGCGCTCACATTATGCTAGGCCCACGTGCCACCGCTGCTATGACTCCATCCTAGGGGAAACACTGAGCACAATGTGAGAGAAATGCCGCGCTGTGTGAACATTGTACTCCTCAAACTTCTGTTGATATTGGCTTCAGTGTAGATATAGCCTGTGCAAAGCTTATCCCCTTAAAAACACATCCTACTTTATAGTGCAGCTTGAACCACAGGAAGTCTTCCTGGCCCAGAGTTCTGATAACGGATGAAACAATAGAAAATCACTCTGTGCCTTCCCAGTGCAACATCTCATGGCATGTGTTAGCAAGCAGTTGGTTTGCCTTGTGTGGCGCATAATGCTGTTATTCATCTGTTAAAGCTGGACTTCTTCTCTTGAAAGTGTACACACATTGACATTCATTTTGGATTAATTACTTGGCTGAATTACCGAATTTGAATGTACCGTGATTTTGTTTCAACTTCAGAAGTGACCTCTATGGTTTTTTTTTAGAGTTCTGTCACAAGTAAGTGTTTTTTCACATAATAAAGGGGTTTCTGTTTGTTTCAGTTGAGAAGATTTTCTCTGTAGCAAGTTGACTTTACTATGTTGTGGTTTTATTGGCTGCAAAAGAGAAGACATTGCTTTTTGAATGCCAAATGCACATAATACTGTCTCCATGACAATATCTGCTTGGTGTAATGGCAGCTATGTGTTAAAAAGGGACAGTTTGAAAGTATCATCTAAATGTGTTAGTAAAAAGAGTCCAGCAGCTGTTCACTCACATCTGGAAAGCGATGCGTCAGCATATTATGATTAGGGATGCTCCGATCGCCAATTTCGGGGCCGATCACCGATCGCTGGAATCAGTATCGGCCGATACCGATCGCCGATCCGATCGAGTGGGCGGGGCCTAAATGGAAGATTTAAACATCACTTTAAATCTTCCATTTAAAGTGATGTTTAAAACTCAGTTAATGGGGCTCATTCACTGGAGCTTCCACAAACAACAATCAACTTAATTATTACATTCAAATGATGTACATTATTCAAGTTTACATTCACTTTGGATAATAACACGGGAGAAATTAGCGGAAGCACTCTCTTTTCCTCTCTCCCTCTCTCTCTCTCCTGACAGCCTGTCAGTATCTCATGCAGCTCACTGATCCAGTAATGAGTGACCCGACAATGAAGAATACATATATTTATAATAACTAGTTTAGCTTGTTCCAGAGGTAGATAAAATAGCTAAGTGTGTTAGGTCTAACTCTTACGGTACGTCCACACAGCAACTTTTCAAAAATCTTGAAAATCTTGGAGCTGGGCGTGTCTGAAAGCTTGGGGATTTTTTGCGAGCAACGCGACCAACAACCAATCACATGAATCTCCCGCCCCCGACATACAAAGCAAAAAACCCCGGGGATTTTATGCGAGCAATATATATATATATATATATATATATATATATATATATATATTAGGGGTGTAACGGTTCACAAACATTTCGGTTCGGTACGTACCTCGGTTTTTTGGTCACGGTTCGGTTCGGTACGTTTTCGGTACAGCAGAATTTTTTTTCACAAAATAAAACATATATATATATATATATATTTTTTTTTTTTTATTATTAAACTGTGAATTTCACTCAAATAAATACAAAATATAATAAAATAAACATTAAGGTGCAGCATTTCGATGAACTGAAATAATCTGAATTTGAACTTTACTGTAGGCTACTAGTACTCACAAAACATAAACTATTAGTTTTGGGTTTTTTATTTTTTATTAAACTGTGAATCTTCACTACAAAAAATATAAAATAAAATAAACATTAAGGTGCAGCTTTTCGATTCACTGAAATAATCTGTATTTGAACTGTAGCCTACTGTACTAGTTCCTAAGCAGCCAGCTTGACATTAGGACTTGCTTGTCATTGTATTGTATTGTATATGTATTGTATTGTATGTAAAAATTAACTTGTCCACATTGCTTGCCGAAAGGGCAGATCTGCTGGCACTAACAAAGTCTCCTGCTGTGGAGAACACCCTCTCTAGGGACAGAGGCAGCAGATACAGCCAGGTAGCGCTTTGCTAACATGGCAACATAAGGATATTTGGTGTTTGTAACAGCTTTGGCTCGGTCTGAACTCTCTGCGAGTGGTGGAGGCTTAAATGCTAGCGGGAGTTGGGTTTGCACTTCAGTCTTTTTTTCTTTTGGTACCGGTGATATTCACGTTCGGGTGATGCCTTTTCAAGAGTGTGCTAGCTTGATGTATTGCCAGCCGCGTAACCAATTTTAGTTGAACAATGCCGACAAACAGCTTTGGTTCGGTCCACCTGTCTTTGTCCGTCATCCTTGTACGTAACTGCGAAACCAAAATGTTCTCAAACCGGAGACTTCAATGATGCTGGAGGATTTTCGAGCTCAACTTTATCTGCGTTCGCCATTAATTTTCGACAGTTCCTCAAATTACTGACTACATTTGAACGCATCCCTCTGACCAGCTCTCATAGTATGCCTCTCATCCAATTAAATGACTTGCTCGCTCTATGACGCGTTGAACCCAATGTGAGCAAATTACTCTGAATGCTGCGACGCAGCACCTGAGATTACTTCCAAAAAGTTGTTCACGTTCTCAATTTTTTACGTTTAACGTTATATTCGTTCGGTACACTTCGGTACACACCTGTACCGAACCGAAGGGCCCGTACCGAATAATTTCGGTACGGGTACGTGTACCGTTACACCCCTAATATATATATATATATATATAAACTCCCCAAACAGGCGAAAACCTACCAGTTTCGCCCACTGTCTCTGCCACCTCCCTCCATGCCTGGTTCCTCCGGTTTGTATCCCGTTAATAGTTCTGGTCGTAAAGAACCGGGTGATTTGCTACCGTAATTTCTCGTTTGGAATATGAGGAAATGAACTGCGGTCTGGTTCTCCCTGTGTGTGTGTTTCGCTGCGCTCACCGGTCCGGCGGGCGGAGCTGCAGGATTTCTGCTTCACACACGTTGCATACCACTATTTTACTGTCTTTTTCGGACACCTTAAAATAATGCCAGACCGGTGAAGCCATTTTGGCGAGCTTGTTTTGCCGCACACAGAGAAAAGTGTCATGTATTTTACGTCATGCGATCGGCTCTCGCGATCGGCATGTTTAGAGAGCACCGATCGATCGGTAGAGAGTGAGTATCGGCCGATCTCGATCGGTGACCGATCGATCGGTAGAGAGTGATCGGAGCATCCCTAATTATGATCATAAGTCCATAATTAGGGGTAGGGGTGGGTGATATTGAAAAATATAATATCACGATATTTTTCAAGCAGTATCACGATAGACGATATTTATCACGATATTTTTTCATGTCGGTTATTATGGTTATTTTTCAAGTTACTTAACAGTACAAGCACCTACAAGGTAACACAAACTAAAATAACAAGGAGTAACAGACCAAAATACCATTTCAAGCTGGTTTTAATTCTGCAATGAATCCCTGAATGCACAATTCAACAGGAATTTTGATATGGCTTCCTCAGTGTTCAAGTAGGTAGGCCTACACCCTACACAACAAACGTTAACACTGGTTTCTTCACCAAGTAAAGTGCACTCTCTTGCTAAATAAAATAAAATATTCAAGGCACAGTTTCTCAGTGTAAAAATTCACTTTCTGTTTTAGGTAGCACTAGCAGTGATGTAACATCAATAAACATGAAAAGGAGAGTAAAACATAACTAAGTAAAACATAAAACATCAATGAGGAAAAGTCAGTGCCAAACAATTAAAATGTAAACTTTAGACTTGAAGTGCAATCAAATACTTTAGCATCACTGAACATCTGTTTCAAAAGGGAAACACAATATAAATACCTTATTGATAAAATAAAAATATAAGCCAACAGAATCAACCAAGACAATAAATGAAGTGCCATACTGTCTGAATCCTGACTAACCGTTATCAGTATGTAGTTACTTCGGCATCATTTTGAAACGTCTATTAAAATTGAATCACGGTAAAATAGGTTAATTTTGCCGTAGTTGGTTTCCATCACAGTATTTACATGGATATAAGCCCCGCCCCCTCTCCAGTTGGTCCTGTTTGGATGACAGGAGTAAACACAGCTGACAGCTGCGGTGAAACTCCAGCGGTTAGGGTGAGAATATTCGCATCGCGTCCGTTGTGAACGCAGCATAATGCAGTTCAGAAACCACTGTTCTGACGCTTTTAAAGCAACTTTGAGATGTTAACAGTATCAGGGGCACGCAGGCCATGGTGGCCGTACAATTATTTTTCGGGGCTTCACGGCCAGACCGAGGGGCAATGACTGCATGGCCGCTGTGAAAATCCTACCCTGGTGCACTATCACGATAGATATGATATCTCTGAAAAGGCATATCGTGGAGACCTAATATCGTCTTGACGATATATATCGTCATATTGCCCACCCCTAATTAGGGGCCACACTTTTAACTTCTGTATAAAGCTTATCTGCTTTATAAAATATGAATAAACCAGTGTGGAGCCAACATACGGCAAAGTAGGAATCAATGATTTTCAGTAGTCTAGTCTAATGTACATTGCATTAGAAGTGCAGCACTGTAAGTGGCTTAAATGGCTGGAAGGAGAGTTGCTGAGAAGTGCAGAATACAGGCAGTGCCTTTCCTCCTCCGATAGCCTGATGGCACAGCAAAGATGGAACCCATAAACATGAGACTGTCATGGTGTAAATAAGATCTGCTTCATGTGATACGCTGTCAGAAATGACAGAGCCAGGCCTTCAGTCTGTGGTAAACATCTGTGACCTCATGCTTGTTGTAAACGTATGGTGGTGGAGTAATTGTTTGGCATAATTTCCAGACAGTATTTTTTTACTTTTATCCTCTAAATCATGTTTGTTTACCCTCTGTTTCTCCCTCCTCTCTCTTTTCAGAGGTCCCCACATTTCAAGAGAAGACGACCGCCTTATTTGGAAATCTTATGGACGAAGGTTGGTATTTGTTTCTGTTTGGGTTTTTTCATTATGTCTCTTTGTCCTACACAAGAAGCTTTCCGAGTATCCCCCAAAAGTCTAAAAAGGCATTTTTCATCAATCATTCAAAAATGTTGGCCTTACTTGGTATTGTGATCAAAAATGTGATCAAATCATTCTTTCAAAAGTCCTGCCTAAAGCTGTAGGAACCTGGTTTATTACGGTCTGGTTTTTTAAACCAGATTTCAAGTTTGTTCCTTTCGACCAAGAAAAAGCACCATTTACTTTTTCTAACACATAGATGTTTATCTCTTCTAATACCTTTTAGTTTCAAGGCTTTTATTGTCATTCGTACATAGCTACAGTGTAGTTATGTCGATGAACATCTTAGGTCATAGGCTCCTCCAACGGTGCAACACAATAAAACAGATCAAATAGTGCAAGTTTGCCTTTATGTAAAGAAATGCTGTATTAACACACTTTTAAACCCAAAATAGTTGTTACTTTCCCTTTTTACCATGATGTTGCACTCTGAACACAGGACTTTGTGCCCAGTCATTGTTTGTGTCTGCTCTTCTTTCTGTCATCCTCCTTCCTTCTTCCCCCTCAACACAAAGCAGTTGTGCTGTCTGCGCTCCCTCTATCTGGTTAGCTGACTCACTCTTTCTGTCTCCTCGGAGAGAATAGGGGGCTGAAAACATGAGCTCACACACCTTTTTGTTGTGCCTTTTTTCTTGAATGTGTAATGTTGTTACAAAGGCTCTCTGGAGAGGTATTATCCCTAATGAGCTGCTGGTTCTCGTAACTGTAAATCCAGCCTGTAAAAGCCTTTCCAAGCCACCTGCTTACAACAAAAGGGCGGTGAGGCTCGCTTGTATGTACTTTTTTTTTTGTCTTTATCTTGGCAGTGTCATTTCCTACCCCCAATGTGCCCACTGAACCAGTGATATTATGTTTATCCCCCCTACTGGCTCTCTTTAGCTGGGCTTGTTGCTATTTGTTGTAGCCTTACGTGCTGTTGGCTAACACAGATGGGCGATATTTGTATCTAAATGAACTTTCTTAGTTAACTAAGAAAACAATCCATGTCCTTTTCAAAGTGGATGAAACATGTTTTAATGTTCTTGCCATCACAAGTTCTTCATTTGGAGGCGTTTGCGTGCCCAGAGACCCAAAGTGTGTGTGTGTGTGTGTGTGTGTGTATGTGTGTGTGTGTGTGTGTGTGTGTGTGTGTTGTGTGTGTGTGTGTGTGTGTGTGTGTGTGTGTGTGTGTGTGTGTGTGTGTGTGTGTGTGTGTGTGTGTGTGTGTGTGTGTGTGTGTGTGTGTGTGTGTGTGTGTGTGTGTGTGTGTGTGTGTGTGTGTGTGTGTGTGTGTGGTGTGTGTGTGTGTGTAGTGTGTGTGTGTGTGTGTGTGTGTGTGTGTGTGGGGTTCAGCCAATCAGAAGCAATGTGTTAATCACATCAATCACAACTGAGCTGGCATGTTCTGGCACCAGTGTGAATGTGTGAATGGGAGTCTCGCTTCAGAATCATACGTTGTGATATCAGCTTCGAACAGATGAAACACCTCATGGTTGAATTAAAATTGGGTGTGTCGGTTTAAACGTTTCTCAACCGTGAGACTACAAAATGTGCCCCCCTTTCATGGCCTCCTGGTTGAGGTCCAGTGTGTTTCAGTAGGGAATTTTTAGCCTGACAGTAATTCTGCTGTCTAGCACAGTCATTTGTATCAACTGTACTTTTGCCTGATTAAGTACACATTTTAAGTAAAATTAATCAGATTTTTGTTAAAAATAACTATTATCATGCTTCCAGCCGGACACACATCTCTCTGACGTCACGCCTGACACAACATGGCCCTGCAGTGTTTCACACACACGCACACACAGCTGGCAGTTGTGACAGAATAGTGGAGTCCCCATCAAGGCTTGTTTAACATAGTTTAACATGTTCTCCTTCTTAATAACTGACTTTTTATAAAATAGAGAAGCTAATTGGGAAAAATTCCTACCGATAGCCGACCCTAGGTATCCAATCCTTAGCTGTTAGCCTTGTCTTGCAAGCAGGGTTGTGCAGCTACAACCCCATGCACAAAAAGGTTAAATCCATCATTTATCGCCAGCTGCAAAACCAAATCCCCAGTTAATGCGTCCGGAATGCCAACATGTTGCGTGAAGACATGCAGCCACTCTCCCAGTCATTTCTAAGTCTCTAACGCACTACCTGTAACGATTTAAAGAGAAGGGGTTTAGCCCCAATGTTAGCAAAAAGCTCAAACTTAATTAAGGTGACTTACCTCTGAGGTGGATCAGCTATTCTCATTTAAGTGACAAGACTCATTGAGTTTCACAGTTGTTTAATAAAAAAGATCAGATTTTTGGTTAACAGTTAAATATTAACTTCCCTTATTGTAAACTTTGACATGAATACCATGCCTCACCCCTTGAGACCTGGAACTGGACTGTATGTCCACATACCAATACATACATGTCTCATAAGCCACCCATCTACAGCAAATGACTCTTTGCCACCATTTTGGATGATAGCATTGTCTCAAGTGAGTGACCGCCTGTACCAAAGCTCAGTTTAATTTATTATTATCTGGCGTGCTAGCCGACTGTGACCATGGCCTTGGCCTGGCTGAATGTCCTGAGCTAATTTGGTCCCACTGCTCTTAGTGCTGCTGCTAGCATGCTAGCCCGCTAAGAAGTGCTATTTATAGCCGATAAGGCATTATCTCCACCACAGCAGATGTGTTTACAAGCCGGCAGACACAGTTGCATCCAGCCAACACTGTCCCTCATTAGGTCCAGTTTTTAACCTCTGCAGTTTGCATGTGTGCGTGCGCAGAGGCTTTACCCCGACAGATGCACTGACAGAGGTGGTCTGCCAACTACCAAGCCGGATGTAAAAGGGAAGCGTATTCAGATCGTGAACACGTCATTTAAAAGCAGCACATTTCATTTCACATGAACTGTTTTTGGGCCAACCTGAAACCCTGTGGGAGAATATTTTGTATATTATTTAGAATATGAAGTAAATCAGTATTCTCAGTCGTAAACATAGCTTAACTCAGTGATGTGATAAGCTACATTCGTACACTAAAAACAAATATTGCTTGCACCAGTGCGGAAAATGGCAGAATATAAATATTTTACATTAAAGGCACTACCGCGGATTATTCCTGTAATAATCATTTGGCCACAATGTAACACGCTGAGCACACAGAGTTTAGGAAGTAACACCTCCAGATCATTTTGAGCCTTGACTGTGGTTATGTAGCATAAAGAAGTGACCCATATAAGGAAGAGCTGTAGGATGATTTAATTTATGAAACAAGTGGGAAACCAAACAAAACTCAGCTTTGCATAGATTTACTAAAATGGTCAGATGTTTATTATCATCATCATCAAATTGTCAAAAAGAGGTCAAAGGAAGAAAGTAGGACTAAAGTGCTGCATAAACAACATAATCCCTAACACTCATGCAAAAACAACTTTCAATGTTCCTTATATCAGCAACATCTTTTATTAACACGGTTAATATGTTAAATGGGCTGCTAATAGTCCAGCCATCACTAAAGCTTTGGCAACATTGAGGGTGTACATTCCCCAGTGCTGTCTGTGTACATATAGCTGCGTTGTCTCACCCTCTGATTGTCTTTTGTCTTCGCCTCCCACACATACTATCCTCTCCCCTCTGTGTTCTGGATCTCCCTGTGCTGCATCTGTCTTTGGGTAGGGCTAAAAAAAGGATGAGCTAGGCCAGATAGCGGAGTATTTGGGGACACAGCCGTGCACAGTCATACCACCTACACCCTTTACTGCCAAGAGAAGAAATGTCATGTGACACCCCTTCAATCATCCTGCCCTTTCCTCCCTTTGTATCTCCTCACTGCCACTCTTTGCCTATTCGTTCCCTTTCCTCCCATCCTCCATTGTCCTCTTAACTCATTTTTACATGTTCCTATTAAGTTTTCGTTCTTACTGTCCACATCTTCGCCACTTACCCTGCATTAGTTTACACTACGCGGTCTCATTCCCTCTCTCCTGCTGCCCCCCTCTTCCTTAGCACACACCTATTGTCCTGCTCATCATTTTGACTCCGCTCCTATCTACCCCTCTCCTTTTCTCTGCTCCACAGGCCATCCCATACTTAACCACAAACCTGTTACCAGGGCAACTGCTCAGCACGATAGGAAACGGCAGCAAGCACACCACATCTGAGCTCACTTTAGTGTCTGGTGGTTCTTTTTTCTTAGCAGTAAAGATAGTTTTAACCCCTAAAGCAGGGGTGGGGAACCTGCGGCCCCCTGACCGTATACGGCCCGCGAGACCATTTGGTGTGGCCCTTGAGGTAATTTATAAACACACGCAAAAAATTAAAGAAATCTAGACCGCAAATTAATTAAACAAGCGAGTGCCTGTTTTTCCTAGCCACGGTCAGGGTCCTTGAACACAACATGATCCTAACGTGTCATCACGTGGTATATGTCTCGACTGACAGGGGTGCAGTTCTGACGGAGAGCACCAGAACACGGCTCCGGCACTTCACAAATTGCAGTACCCATAAGGAGCCGTACACATGCTGCAGTTTCTGCGTGGCTGTGTCTTTAGTTGAAAGCCCAGTGGCGATCTGTCATACTGATCATACAGTCAATAACTTTGTTGTTATTAGCATCTGGTTAGCTAGCTATGCTAACGAATATAAGAAGCTTTTCTCCAACCAGTGAGGTAAAGGCACATCTTTATATGATCATTATAGTTATAAAAAAATAAGAGAATAAAGTAAACAGGTATAAAATACTATATGACAGTAAAAAAAAGTTGTTATTAATAAACAAGAACACAGTTTGAAAGAGAAGTGATTTGTAAAATATCCATAAAGGAAAATAAATCTGCTTCCAGTTCTGTTTCATATGGGTGTTGAGAGATGTATCCATAGATAATAATAATGTTGCTCTCAAAGTGCACCAGATTGATGCTTTTAACTTCAACATTTAAAAAAATATATCTTCCCGGGGGAGCATGCCCCCCCCCCTTAGAGGAGGTTAGGTCCCCCCCCCACTTAAATCATGCCCACATGGATAGGAAACTAAATACATTTGCTCACATCTTGTGTCCATATCTTTCTGTTTTGGTGGTCATGCCACAACCGTGCACATGCATGCATACACGAGTCATGGTGAGATATCTGGATTCAGAGGTTGCTTTTTCTTTGCACAGAATGAAAGAAAGGCCAAATGAATGGGCTGTGATTTTAGTATTTTTAAGCAGAGGTCAATAATTTGTACGGCCCTCGGAGGATGTTGAAAAAATTGAAATGGCCCTTGAGAGGAAAAAGGTTCCCCACCCCTGCCCTAAAGAGTCCAGATGCTCCAAATAAATTCCAAAAGCCTTCAGTTACCTGTGTCTAAACCTGCACAGGAAGCATTCACATTGGTTTGAAGAACTGCAGCATTGTGGGAGCCAGCCATTCAGCCATCCTTATAAAGTCTGTCAATGACTGACTGTGAGAGAGTGAGGAAATCCCACTGCTGGTTACGTCTTTGCATACGTACCGGGGGGGGAAATACAGTTTTACATTGCAAGGGTCCCTTTACAGAAGCAATGGGATGTTTCCCTTTGATTTGTTATCAACACCACTTTTAGTAGTAGTCACTTGTTACCAACCGCTGTTTATCACACATAGAAACTTCAGACATTCAGGAGTGGGACATTAATTGAAATATTTTATGTTGTTGAATAAAACGTGATTATTTAAGATATCTTATCAAAAACATGTTGAAGCTAAGAGGATATGGTCAAATGCTCTTTTGGTGGCCACATTGAAACTGTACACTTTCACCTGAAATGATGAGGATGATAACTTTTTGAAGTCTTAGATTTGAAACAGTCTTGCTTACAGAGTTCTACAAAAAAGTAATAACTGCAATATCTTGGGTGAGAGTTCTACATTACAGTATTATTTATCAATGAAAAACAGAACAACAAATTGTATTTATACTTCCATCAAGATAAAAGCAATGTTGAAGTTCACCATGTGGTCCTCCCGCCTCCCATCCTTCTCTTTAACACTCTCTCCTTTTTAGCCGATTCCATCAGTTTTGATGTAGATGTGTCAGAGGTAAACAGCCAGGGACTTAGAGGTCAGAACTCACAGATGTGCAGTAAGTAACGACACAGAGTTTTGTACCTCTGATATAGTGCTTCATAATCTGCTCAAATCCTCATCAGACCCTCTCTCTCTCTCCCTGCTTCAGAAATGAGTCGCCAGACTGCCACCGCGCTGCCCACTGGAACCTCCAAGTGCCCCCCCTCCCAGCGCGTCCCCACCCTGTCAGGCACCACGGCCTCCAACAGCGACCTGGCCAGCCTGTTCGAGTGCCCCGTCTGCTTCGACTATGTGCTCCCCCCCATCCTGCAGTGCCAGTCCGGACACCTGGTATGCACTGCTACTTATACAAATAATTAGTAAAGCTGTATTTTCACAACACTTTTCATACACAGGATGCAGCTTAAAGCGTTCAATTCAAGTCAAATGTTAAACCTCTTAGCACACATGCAGCATGTTTACGTGATACATACAAGTGCAATACTAAATCCAATAGTAAAAAAGACAGAAATAAGATACCAATAATAAATAAATAAATACATACACCAATGAATTCAAAAATAAAAATCAGTAGAAGAGGGATGTTGCTAATTAAAAGCATTGTACTCAAGTATGTTTTCAGCTTTTGTTTAAGAATGTCCACTGAGTTTGCCTCTTAGTTTTCTGGGTAGTGTGTTCTACAGTTTGAATCGCAGTGGATGAATTTTACCAATTGTATTTTTTAAGGAGCTCAGACATGGACAAAAGACAATAGCCAATCAATGAGCTTCTTGTTCTATGCACCACATTTTAGAAAGGTACCCATGGGTGTGTGGGTTTAGTAGAACTACTGCATAAAGTTAAATGTGTTAACGAAACAAAATGTCCTCATGGATTGAGTAGTTGTATTGCTTTTCACTGTCAAACAAGTGAGGCTTTATTTGTGCTCATTTAATGGCCATAATCACATTAAAGGTCACCATGGTTTTTTAGGACTACATTTGTTGACTGCATTTAAAGTCATTGAGAACTTGCTATTGCTTTTACTAAAGCTACAGTTTGTGCTATGCCCATTAATTGCGACAATTAACATTTTGATAAGATCTGGGGTTCAGTTATACAGCAGGACCAAAGCCGGTAGAAGTCTTTTCTGTCCCATTGGAGTTGAATAACAACTTACTGAATGTATTCATAAATGCATTCATGATAAAACATTTTCTTAAAAGGGCAATAACAATTATTTGATTAAATTGTTCGAACGGTAAAAGTTAAAAGGAAAATAAAATATCCCATAGTAATATACAAAGTGGAAGGCTATAATGTTAAAATAAGAATTCATTATTTTGGAGACACAAATAGCTCTTATTAATAACACCTTTTTTCAAAGATTAAAATTGTGCAACTGGATGACACGTGTGTTATGCAACCACTATCTAAATAAAGAATTCCTACATGTTATTTACTTTTTAAATATATATATTAAATGAATATGCTTGAACTTCAGCTACTAAAAGTCTCGCATCTTGTGATGTCATCAAAAATAAATGAGAATCCCACAAAATATTTGTTACCAATATTACAAATAAAATGTCCCAAGAACATGTCTATAAAATGTGTCCCAATGTATCTTCTATGCAGCAGTCTCATGCTTTATAATGGCATCACATATTGAATCACTTTTGAACACGAGTAGAGGAAGCAGTTCCAAATCTCAAAATAGAATAAAAAATAGTCATCCTTAAAGATGCTTGAAATCTGGCAGCGAATATTAACAGTTCATCATGGCTGCCAGACTCTTCACCTTGAGTGTCATTTAAAAAAAAAAATGTAGCCTTTATTTATACAGGTGTAGATCTCATTGAGACACAAGGTCTCATTTTCAAGAGAGACCTGTCAGTGGTAACACTACCACACAAAGTTACAGACAGACAGGACACTAAACACAGAGGCAACACTAAAATACAACACCGTAAAAAAGTAGTCATTAAAATCCATATACAGTCAGATATAGCAGGTGCAAACACCCACAGATGATTTCTCCAGCTTTTTTAAATTGAGTTTAAAATCCGTGATGGGTATCAAAGTGGTCAGCTTAAGTTCCTGCTGAAGTGTGTTCCAGGTCGAGGGGGCAGAGTATGATATGGCTTTTTTCCCCAAGCACCGTGCGTACTGAGGGGACGGACAGAGTGATGTAATGTTGAGATCTTAGTCTATAGCTGTACTGTTTGTGTGATATGTAGAGGGGCAGCAGTCCAAGCATAGCGGTATAGATGAGTTTGTACCAGTGCATTTAAAAGAACGTGTTCTATGACACAGGCTTAAAGGTCAGTACTTCAAAAGGTATAGCAAATTAAGAATTGTATATTTAGCCAGCCCGAGTACATAAAAAATGAGCGAGACTATGCAAACAAATCTTGGCTGCTTGACATTTTACACTCCACTCCTAACTTGTGGCTGAAGAAGCTGACTTGATTTACGTTTTGCTTCCCAGGTATGCTCGAACTGCCGGCCCAAGCTCACCTGCTGCCCCACCTGCCGGGGGCCCCTGGGCTCCATCAGGAACCTGGCCATGGAGAAGGTGGCCAACTCGGTCCTCTTCCCCTGCAAGTACGCCTCGTCGGGCTGCGAGGTCACCCTGCCCCACACGGACAAGACGGAGCACGAAGAGCTCTGCGAGTTCCGGCCGTACTCCTGCCCCTGCCCCGGGGCCTCCTGCAAGTGGCAGGGCTCCCTGGACGCCGTCATGCCCCACCTGATGCACCAGCACAAGTCCATCACCACGCTGCAGGTCAGACATCTCATTCAGCTTCCTTTACTCACTGAGAGTCATGAAGGTGCACAGTGAGGTTTGTCAAAGCAAAGGTGACAACTTTAACAAATGAGTCAAAGGGGATATTTGCTTCACAACACAATGGAAGGGTGACTTGTTCGAGGATACTCCTTAGTAAATGTCAATCACCAATACAGGTGTCCAAATGAAACTGGAGGATTTGATCATTATAGCTATCATTTCTAGTTAGCTTTTATCACTAGCCAAACTCCGGCTCTACAAAAATCTTCTAATATTGTTTGCAATTTCTTAGTTGTACGAGCTCAGTCTGTTCCTTTATTTCAATCTGGCACCGACTTCCAAAAATGAGGAAGCATCAGTGTGAATTTCATTTCAAATTTAAAAGGGCACTCGTAATTGATATCAAAGTCAGTTTAGTTGACAGTCTTCTCTCGGTCTGGAGAGAAAATGACCCTGATGATGGCATCCCTCCTTTGGTAGCTACAAATGTATTCCTCCAAGCTAGAGCATTGTTAGAAATGTAGGATCTCACACGGAGTGACTCCCCCTGCTGCTTTGATGTTGACCTCTTTTTTATTTCGCAATGTGTTTCAAACACGTCATTAATTTGTTCCCCTTTTTTAAATAAAAGACACCAAACCAGTCGGCCTTTCCATCACACTCACCCCTATGACATCACTAGATCTACCAGCACACTGGGATAATACATGCAAAGTGTGGTAAAGAACTACTTTAATGTCTGCTCTTATTTCATATTGTTCCAATGAATTCCGGAAAATAATCAGTCTAATGTAAAAAAATAAGCATTGTTGGTTCCCATGTGAAAGTAGATGAGGATGATACACTTTTTCATACAGCACTTTTCCTAACAATGGTTTACAGAGAGTTCTTCTCAAACAGCTCTGAGGTTTAGAGACAGTATTGTAACGTTGGGACACGATGACTGAACCCTGTTTTTGCGTGTGTCCTTCAGGGGGAGGACATAGTGTTCCTGGCCACAGACATCAACCTGCCGGGCGCCGTGGACTGGGTGATGATGCAGTCCTGCTTCGGCTTCCACTTCATGCTGGTGCTGGAGAAGCAGGAGAAGTACGACGGCCACCAGCAGTTCTTCGCCATCGTGCAGCTCATCGGGACCCGCAAGCAGGCGGAGAACTTCGCCTACCGGCTGGAGCTCAACGGGCACCGGCGCCGCCTCACCTGGGAGGCCACGCCGCGCTCCATCCATGAGGGCATCGCCACGGCCATCATGAACAGCGACTGCCTGGTGTTCGACACGTCCATCGCACAGCTGTTCGCAGAGAACGGCAACCTGGGGATCAACGTCACCATCTCCATGTGCTAAGAAAAACTTTGAAGAAAAAAAGAGGGTCAAAAAGTTACAGATTGTCCGGGGGGCATTTTTTTAAGGGGGGTCAAATTCGTTGTGACTTCACAGCGTCTCCTCCCACCCCCTTTCTCTGTCTCACCCCTTGAGACGTGGAACTGGACTGTCTGATCGGGCAGCCAAGGGGTGGGGATGAATGGATGGAGGAAAAAAAACTGTGTAGTGATGGACTTCTAAACATATGTGAGACGCATGCACGCACATGCAGGTCCCGCCCTCTCTCGGTCACCTCACACAAACTGACGAGCTGTTCAGTCAAACACCGCGTTAGTCGCCGTCTACTTCCCCTCCGTTATCCTCTGACATTTTACACACTACAGCCCCGCCCTTCTCTCAGAGACGCTCCGGAACGTGCCGTGGCGGATTCACACTGAGGAAGGCTCAAGCTATATCACAACACGGACTCCCGGTCAGTACGGTCTAACACACCCCCCCCCCCCCCCCCCCCCCCCCATTCCCTGCTGTTTGTATTCAAACTCCCTCTTGGATTAAACGCTCCACACCCGTGTCTTCGTCTATTAGCACCCGGGATATCACAGATTTGGGATGTTTATCTCCACCTGTGATTGGACGGCTGTAGCACCCATAGCCACCCAGTTATGTGCCGGACTGCAGACGCTCCACAGATCATCTGTCACCCGCTCCACCCGAGGCTGAAGATTGTGACGCTCTTTAAATAGTAGACCGTCGTCGTTACTAGTTATTCCTCCCGCTCTCACATGGTATGGATTTAGGAAAGCCCCGCAGCTACACCGGCCCTGGATTATAAAAGAGAATAATACTTCCATGGGAGCGGACGGGTAAAAGAGGAAAACACACCCTGCATTACAGGCTGCTGTGGATGAGTTGATCGCGTGTTGGAGCATTTTGACCGAGGATTGGAGGGGTCTTTTTTTTTTTTCAGAACAAGGAAAGAAAAACATTTCAGTTGAGTCAGTTTTCTTTTGGAGTCTGTTGTTTCTTTTTAATTATTTTAGTTGTCTTTTTTTTGTAAGAGAGGAGAGAAGAACTCTGTGTGTGTGTGTGTGTGTGTGTGTGTGTGTTGTGTGTGTGTGTGTGTGTGTGTGTGTGTGTGTGTGTGTGTGTGTGTGTGTGTGTGTGTGTGTGTGTGTGTGTGTGTGTGTGTGTGTGTGTGTGTGTGTGTGTGTGTGTGTGTGTGTGTGTGTGTGTGTGTGTGTGTGTGTGTGTGTGTGTGTGTGTGTGTGTGTGTGTGTGTGTGTGTGTGTGTGTGTGTGTGTGTGTGTGTGTGTGTGGTGTGTGTGTGTGTGTGTGTGTGTGTGTGTGTGTCAAAAAGCCTACTCTCTCTCTCCCTTCTCGCTCTTTCATTTCTCCTCTGCCTCAACCACTGATGACTGAACACCCAACCAGGAACAATGGACAGTTTCTACCGTTACAATGTTGCTATTGTTATTATTAAGTGGGGATGATCATTATTATCATTTTTTGTAACGACTTTTAAAAAGAAAATTAAAAGGCAGTTGTAAAACTTGTGGCTAAACTTCAGTGTTTGTAGTTAAAAAGCAAGTTGTGTCGTTCTTCTGACGGTTTGTGCCCCCCCCCCCCACCACACCCCCGCCCCAGAGTTGGATTGTTTTTTCCTCATCTATTTGTCTCTCCGTCCTCTTGTTTGTGTGGTAAGTCTTTTATTTTTCTTCTTGTTATGTCTGAGGGAGGGAAGTCAAGCCAATCATCTCCCTTCCTCCTCATGTGGAGTCTCAGTAATGTCGCTGCTCCCATCAACTCCCTGACTTTTTTCTGTTTTAATTTGTCATTAAATAAATCTATCTTTTTCATACCTGGTGCCTTTCTTTATTTTCTTTTTATCGCAGGCCTCAGTTCATATGTATGGCTGCATATTTTTTTGTCGTATAGCGGTTCACATTCTACGGCTGGTTAAGGTAACAAGAAAAAAAAATCTAGGTTAAAAAAATAAGGCCTATGCAACAAACTCCAGTTCTGAAAAGTTAATGCCATGCAGAAGTTCCTGTAAATGTGTGTTGCTGCTATGACACCTACATGTCCCTACTGTAGACTATGTAAGAGTATTGTATAGAAGTCTGTGAAAGGTTGAGATAATGCACAATACAATAATACACTTTAGGGAGATTGCACATTTCAGCGAGTGGGACCTACATGACAGGATTAATCCAAACAAGCAATGTTTTTTGTGTGTGTGTTCCTTTTGAACCACACACTTTTTTACCTAAGTCAAATAAACACCTCAACACTGTTTGATTTTGAATTGATTACAGCTGAAACCATTTTCAAAACTTCATTTTTTAAGTAAAAAAAAAAGGACTCTTAAGTCAAGCCTCTTTCTTTGTGATTGACAACTAAATTGAAGCTAAACTTCCTGACAGATTAATATATATTATTTTAAAGTAAATGTCTCAGCCCCAGAAATGAAAGGTCAGAAATACAGCGTCTTGGAACACAGTGAACGTTTATCCATCAAAGCATAATCTTTTTACATAAAATGATTAGGAAAATGTTGAGCCATATTTCTGTTAAAAGTGAAACGGTGATCTCTGTCCCACATTCTTAAGGTAAGGGACTGTACCAAAATTATTCGAGAAGGATCGGAGATAAAAAAAAAGAGGGGTTGCAATTTATCTTTGATGAATAATATTTGGATAATGTACTAGGCCTATATTAAAAACGAGATGTATAATTATTACATCAAAAATATTTTACAAGCCTATAGTCTCTTGGCAAAAACTGTTTTACACATTCAATAAAATGTGTCGTAAAAGTTTGAATATAATTTATTTCACACTTTGCTAACAAGTCCAACTAATCACAGTAGGGAATCACGTTACCCTCTGGCCGCTATAACTGAGACATAAAGCTTCACTTAAATAAATCGCTTATGCATAAAATAAAATCGGCGGTGAGTAAAATATATTATCTGTTTAAAAATGTGGGTTTACTCATCTTAACCCTTTGATACACAACATGGGTCAAAAGTGACCTGAGTGAGTTTTAATTATAAATATCTTTGCAACAAATTACTTTAATTATTCAGAATTCCAGGTATTCCTCAATTAACTTGTTTTTGATCATCACAAATTCTTACTTTCATTTTTCCTTTCTTACTTTTTGAATAAAAATCTTTTTTGTATCACTGCCCTTCTAAGGGACAACATGGGTAAAAAATGACCCGTATTGACCTACAATGTTATTTGATGCATGGCTGAGTGTTTCTTAGCTATATTTTTGGAAATTAATTAATTTAACCATTTAATATTCCAAGTATTCATTAAATATCTTGTTTTTGATCACAACACATTATTTTCATTCTACCTTTCTTAATGTAGGAAATAAAATAGTGTTTGTATTTCTACAGCAGGTTTACATACATGGGTTAAAAATGACCCATGTATGTAAGTGTGATTAAAAAGGAAAATATATAAGTAGTAGTACTGATACCCCTTTCGTCTCATTAGTATGCAAGAAAAGTGACAGGTGGTGTGACAGGTCACACCTCTCCCTACTTATGTTAATGAGCTAAGTCCCGCCTCCCTTTGTTCGCGGTGGATGTCCCACCTAGGTGTGAAATCCTTTGATGTGAGGGGGTGAGGTACATCACACGTAGGTGTGAAATGCCCTCCTGTGTAGTGCCTTTGTTAGAGATCCTTTTGTGTCATGTGAAAAGCCCGGGGCTAGCGCTTTTGTTGTCTAATTCTTTGATGTGTTGATTAAGTCTCTTTGTGTTGTCTGGCCCCTTGTCCCCTCAGAGTTGTATAATTATGAAGTCTAGTCCTTTGATGGGAGGTGTTATAGCAGGTATGTGTGACTTCACACTGGTGTGTTATAAGCCTCTGATGTTAATTTAGGTGTTGATTAAGTCTCTTTATGCTGTCTGCCCCCTGCCCCCTCAGAGTTGTATAATATAATTATGAAATCTAATCTATGAGGTGTTATAAACCTCTGATGTTAATTTAGGTGTCTCTTGAAGTTAGGTGAGACTGTCTACCAGCCCCCTCCTAGCCTCTCCCCCCTTCCGGGCTATGACGCAGGCAGATAGTGGGGGGTGGAATTAGAAATATGCGCAAACTAAATAAAAAGACAGCAATTCCATTTACCCACCTTTTCAAAAAAGAAAAATGGCCAAGAGACGCCTCGAATGGGGGTTAATCAGTCAGCTTACCGCATCCGTCCGGAGCGTCAGTCAAACGAATGCATCAGCAGCAATGCGGGGGTCTGTGCACAAACTTATCTCGCGCCCTCTTTTGGTCATGCGCGTTCATGTGTGTTGGAGGAGGGGCTCTGTGAGGAAGTGGCAGATTTTCCCCGGTTTGACTGCAAAATACTTTTTTTTACAGAGGGCTCCGCCTCCCGCCTTAACATAACAAGCCCTGCCTTTTCCTCACCAGATCATTTAAAAGTAAGGGGGTGGAAATAGATGAAAAATAAATACGCTCAAACTAAATACAAGCCAGTCATTTCCATTTACCCAGTCACTTTTCAAAAAAGAAAAATGGCCAAGAGAACCCTATAGATATGGGTTTAATCAGTGAGACTCCAGTGACAACTTACCGCCACCAGTCCGGAGCGCCAATCAAGAAACAAATGCAGTATCTGGGCCGGGTTCAGACGCCTCCAGCCGAAGAACTTCATGAAGAATGGACTCTGAAAAATGGTGATGTTTGGGGTTATGTATTCAACTATATGGCGAATGAACTGCATTTCTACAATCTGAAGAATGGAGAAACGTATGGACCCCGTAGTGTTAAAGCGACACTGACCTCAACAGATTGGGCTGTGTTAACTCTGGTGTCCTCCAGAGATCTCCACGCAACCACTGTATCGGAAGAAGTAGTGCATCAAGAAACAGGCGTGGAACCAGCGGTGTACAAGATATTTGCAAAGAAAAGCAAAGAAACGCAGACAGCATGCGAGATCAAAGAAGAGTTTGCACCGCTGCCCCTCAAGGTGGAGGAAGAAGAAGGAGATATTTCCCCGCCGCCAGAAGTGAGAAGAGTCCTGACAAGCACCGTCTGGGAAACTAAAAGCGGACCATCGGGGCGATGGTATTACCGCGCAAGCCGGATGGTGACGCTGGGGAAGGACCCCTCTGATGATTTTGTTTTGGAGTATTTCAACTCTACATGCGGGGTTTTTCAGACATCCTTGCGGGTGCCTCTGACTGCTTGGCTGAAAATGATTGATGGAAAAGCTACAAAGCTTAAAGAACTTTTTAAACAGAGTCAGACATCGATCGACATTATACTGGTGAAAAAGACTCTCACTTTTGCAGAGGACTCAGCCTCCCAATCAACATAACAAGTCACACCCTCCTCACTGACTTTTTCATTCGCATTCTGCGTTTGCTTTTCATTTTTCTTCTCCTTTTCATTTTTCTTCGTTTTTCTTTACTTTTTCTTTTCTTTTCTTCTAATTGTCGTTTGCGATCTTGGCGAGTGGTATGAGATATACTGTTTCTATAAAGGTTATCTATAATACCATCTTTTAAAGAAAGATATTCTTCATATGTCATGTTATCGTGGTCCTCTTTTGTCCTAAAGACCTTACATGGATATGATATAGAGGAGGGCTCTTCTTCGGGAACATCCTCTCCCCTACTTTGTAACATCCAGTCATTAAGCCCGTATCCGTTATCCTGGTGATAATAAGGGGAGGCTACATCAGACTTGGGTTTTCTCAGATTCATGGCTACTTTTCAACGGTCGTCTTAGTGGGGGTCCTTAGTTTTATATGATTGCTGAGTGGGATGGGACTTATTGCGTTGAGTGGGAGGAGTCATCTGTAGAAAATACTCTGTTTCTATTAGATTTTGTAAAAGCATCTGACTCTTAATGGCAGTTTGTGATTTTGAGGCTATTTCAGTGAAAGCAAGGCTGTTTTGAACATTTGGCAGATTTATGCTTAAATTCTCTGAGAAAGTTACTACAAGATACACTTTTGTGTATAAAAGCTGAAAAGTAGATAATGAAGTACTTTGTATTGGTAGATTTCGTTAAGATTCTGACTCTTAATGGTCCTCTCTAAATCTGATTCAGGGG